CCTGCAGACGGCCCAGACGTCCGCTACGCAGGACATGCTGCGCTGTGAACACGCAGGTCCCGGTGACCTGAGTGGACACGTCTCTACAAAAGAAGAGCCCTCTCAAAGGATCCCATTTAGGTTAAACACTAAACACAATCTGCTCGGAGAGGACTCCAGTGAGACAGGGCTTTCTCTGTCTGCCTGGCTCATACCAGGTGTACAGGATGTCCCCACTGCACGGTGACAGCTCGGCGGGGGTGTGGGTGGTGAATGCTGAGCTAAGGGCTGTGCCTCAGCCTTGCTGCTACACCAGGAGGCGTCCTGAGCAAGGCTTGAGTTACTGGACGTGAGAAGCGCCAGGACCATCCTCTCCCCATCATCACCAGGCTGCAGCCGCGGCCCCAGCCCTTGTCCTGGGCCCAGCCACGGGCAGGTCTCTGGGGAGGAGGGCACATGACATCCTGGGAAAATGTCCCTTCTCCCCCCAAGGCTCCTTTATAAAGGAGTCCACATTGCTTGCAATGCTCAAGCCAACCCGGAGTAGCACTGAGGGACACCCCCTTTGGCTCAAAGACACGCTCCCTCTCCTCAGATGCATTCTTCAGTAGCTCACACTCGGTTCAAAATTTCCAAGGAAACTGGAGACCTATGACTGACAGAGGGATGGGGGATGTGTGCACGTGTGTGCACATGTGTGGGTACACATGGACCTGTGTGCGCCTGCGTGCACAGTCGTGTATGTATGTATGCACAATGCACACGCATGCGCACACACGTGTGTTTGCCCGCACATGCGCACACATCCCTGCCCAGTGTCCCGCAGGGGAGTCCTGCAGACGTCACAGCACCACCAGCGTCGGGGAGCAGTCAGTCAAGCGCTGGGCTGGGTGCCCGGGCAAGCAGAAAGCCGCCGAATCCCTCTGCTGACCGCGACACCCACCATGATAAAAAAGCCAAAGCTGCTCAAGCTGCCTAGAGCTGGTGGGTGTGCATCTCTGGGGAAGGACCACCCTCTTCCTAGGGGAGGAGCCTTTGAGTCAACGCTGTGGACCGCTGCTCACCGCCGTCTCCGAGCTGCATCAAATCCCAGAGTGAAAGCTCAGGATATGTCGTTTGGCCAAATTCAAGCTGGAGAGCTATCGAAACAGACACTTCATAGCAGCTATCCCCTGGCACAAAGCCAGCCCAGAGGACAGGGAGGAGGGGCCTGGTAGCCATGTGGCCACGGGGCCTTGGGCGTGGCCACGGGGGCGCCATCACCATCCCTGGCCTTCCCCAAGCTGTGGGCCTGCCCCCTGGACACAGGGGAGGCAGAAGCCACGGGGATTGAAGTTCCCACCCTACCTGGCTGCCCACCTGGGCTTGGATCTACCTCTGGGGAGACCCCATGCTGCACGCCCCCGCGGGGGACGCAATGTGCCCGGGTCCCTCAGTGCGGGGCAGCAAGCCCACGTCCAGATGGCAGACCCAGCACTCACCCCCTGGGTGCCCGCCCCCTGGCTGGGTGCGTGGTGGCCACTGGGAGGTGCCGGGGGAGGCCTGGGCCGAGCTGTGGGGGGCTGAGGCGGAAGGCTGGCCTGTGTGCCCCACTACCACGGCCGTGGGACTGCGGCACCACCGTGTCCCTGCTCAGCCACCAGGCTCCAAGGGCTGGCATGGTCTGCAGGGGTGCTCTGGGCCTTGCCTAGAAGCTAAGGCCCAGGTGGGGACACCCTGCCCACACCTCACACCGGGCAGGTCCCTCTCCTTAGAGCCTCACGTCCCGGAGAATCCAACTCCCTGGCTGGCTTCCCTGTCCTTTGTCCTGTAACATTTGCCAATACCTCCAGGCTCACCTCTCCCAACACCCTAGGGGTCCCCATGTCTGTCTGCCAGATGGGGTGAAATTCCGTACTCGCCTGGCACCTGGGGCCTCTGTCCCTGATTTAAGACTCTGAGCTCTTCCCAAGATCAGACACCTGCCAAGAGGTGTCCAGCAGCGGCCTCTGGCCCAACATCCAGGGTCTCTGTGAAGATGGCTGAAGGCTCACGTGGGGCCTACCCCAGGGGTGGGAGGCTGTTCTATGGGCAGGAGGGGGGTTTCTGGTCACATCATCGTCAACACGCAGGGCAGCATCCCAGGCCCCCAAGGCTGGCACTGCAGGGTGGCCTCCAGGGCTCACTGCCCCATGCAGGACAGGCTGGCCACAGCCAGAGAGACTGCACAAGGGACCCCTGAACACACCCCCTGTGGGAAGTCTAAACCACAGAGCAGACCTCTTGGGAAAGGCCTTTCCAGGAACCCCAGCCTGGAGCTGGCCTACTGACCCTGCCTTGTCCTCTGCAAATGGTTTAAACTTGCCAGCGTCTAGTACGGGCCTCGGCTACAGGCCTCCCCATCCCCGAGCACGGTAGGAGAAAGAGGATTTGGTGAACATGGGGGGGCCCATCCGCACACACAGCCCACAGAGTTCCCACGACTCCTTTAAAATCGCCCGTGTCATCAGGCACTGCCCCTGGGCCAGCACCCGTCTAGGGGCTCCACACACCCGGGCACAGCTTGCAAATCCCCACATCCTCAGCGACCGAAGGAGAAGCCTCAGGGCAGAGTTCATGATTCAGTCACGAAATCCTCTAACAAAGCACGAGCCCTGCCAAAGCAGGGTCATGCCAGGTAACTCGGGGTTGGTCAGACACATGGACAGGCTGGGACACCCGTGTGAACGGTGGACAGAGCCCGCATGAGCGCACAGATGACACCCACGGACCCGCGCTGGACACAAGCCGAGCTCCGAGCGGGTACCCCACCCCATCCCCTGCTCACTCACCTCTGTCCTCCCTAGCTGTGGCCGTAGCCACCCCGGGCCGAAGGCAGACCCCCAAGTTCCCTCTGGCCCCCAGACCAGGAAGCTGTCCCTCCTGCTGGACAGGACTGGCCTGTACCTCGGGCCTTGGGAACCTTTTCCCACGGAGCCTGGGCCACTTCCTGCTGCCCCGCAGGCACCGCTCCCTAATATGGGCTGGGAAGGCTGGCCGTGACCTCCAGCCAGACATGCACCCTGGCGGGATGCCAGCCCTGGATCTGCGCCTTCCACCGTTGGGGCCCAGAGGGTCCCATGCTGGCCCTGGGTAGGCAGGGCTGTTGGGGGACCGAGAGGTTCCAGTGGGAAGGCGCAAAGCTAGGACTCTGGTTTCCAGGGCTGACCCTGCTGTGAAGCCTGGTGCAGGAACCCACCCCTCGAGCTCCGCTAACCTGGATCCTCACCCACCTACAAGGGGTCTTCCCTCTCCGAGCTAAAGCCCACCTCCCTGAGCTGCCAGCCTTGGCCTCCGCTGCCCCACCCCACCCCAGCCAGGCTACCCTCTCAGCCAGTCTCCCCTGCTCTGGGCAGGGGGTGGGGATCTCTACCCCGCCTGACCTTCCTGGTTGGGGGGGTCCCTACCCAGCCTGCCTGACATACCCTTGGCCCTGGCAGGCACTCCACGTGTGTCTGAAGCATGACGGCAAATCACTGCAGGGTCAGAGGTCAGCTCCGACCAGCGGAGAGGAGCGCTGTCCCTGCGGACGCGGAGCAGTCTGGGGGACCGAGCCCCTACCTCACCTGCAGCAGGCAGTCAAGTGGGGCAGGGGAACTGGACATGGGTCGCCAGAAAGATGGGTGACACCTGTCCAAGCAGGGAGATGGGCAGAGAGGCAGCCAGACCACGTCACAAGACCCCTCTCTGGTCACTTATTCTGTGCCTGACAGATGCCACCTGGTTGATCCCTCAGGGCAGCCCGAGGGAGGTCCAGGCTGTGCCCACCTCACGGGGTGAACTCCACTTCCCAAGGATACCACCTGCACAGCCTGCTCTCAGGGCCCCTGCCTCTCACCCAAAGCTGTGCCCCCAGGACCCCACGGGTGCCAGGCTGGCGCTGTCCCTGCAGAGGGACCACCCTGACCCTTGACGTGTGGCTGGAAGCTTCCCCTTCTGGTCCTGGTCCCTCACCAGAAACGGCCCTTAAAGACCATTCGCTCCACCACTCACTTGGCAAGCTGGGAAGCCAAGTTCCACAAGGAAACAGCCGGAGCACCTGGCCTTGAACCCCGGCATCCACCCCTTCTCTGGCCTTAGAACAGCTGACCGAGCAGGACCCAGAGTCCAAGGTTCTGCCCAGCCAGGGAGGGTCTCACACAGGGCAGCGGCTGTGGATGACCTGGAGTCTGGCTCCTGGCCCAGGGTGAGGGGCAGACGTGTGTGCCTGTCCTCTGGGGCTGGTGGGGTGGGGAGAGGGCCCCAAGGACAGGGCCCTGGGGCAAACCCCCATCGGGATTGTCACCGCTCTGCCCTTCCTGGGATGCCCACCGGCACGGTGCCCTCTGTGCCAGTCACCTGGACAGGCAGGAGCTTCGTGGCATCGTGGGACACTGCACAGGGAAGGTCGGCTCCCAGGCCACCTGAAAGCCCCTGTCAGTTAATTCTCTCCTCACACAGATGAATAAGCAGGGACTCTGAAAGACAAGCGACCAGCCGAAATTCACCAAGCGACTAGAACCCAGGACTCCTGCCCTTCATCTGACAGCCCACCTGCATCCCACACCCCAAACAAGGCTCTTCTTAGGAGGGGCTGCCCTTGAAAACCCACTTCTACCTGGGGAACCCTGGCCCCTGTGCCTCGCTGGGTACAGCGCTGCCACCCCCACGGGCTCCTCCCCCAGCCTTGACCAGAGAGGGGGCTGGGAGGCCAGCACAGCACCTGGCCCCCCTGGCATGCCGGGCACTCCAGCTTCCTGCCCGCAGGGTCTGCGCCTCATGCTGCCTGGGAGATGCTCACAGCCCCGCAGGTAAGAATGGCCACACTCTGGCCACCTGCTGGTCATCTGAGTAAGGGCTCCTCTCACTGCGACCGGGTCCTGAAGGGCACCCCTGTTCCCCGCGCTCCCCACGCTCCGGGGTCCTGGGGAGCAGGTAGTGGGGATTTGAGGATGAGGGGCCCTGGGGTGGCACGAGCCCCGTCCGGGGTCCCTCCACGTGGGGGAGGGCACTGCAGACCGTACCTGGCGGCGCATCGGCCGTCGTCGAACACGAAGGTCCGGTTGGTGTGGCCCCCGCCGCGCGCCCCCCTGTAAACACCCCCCGGGCTGCGCGCCCCGTCCGGGAGCGGCATTGGGCTGGCGGCGGCTGCGACTCGGAGCCGAGGAACAAACGAGTCGGGAGCGATTGGCGACTTCTACCCCCGCTTTGCCCTGAAACACTTTTCTCTGGTTACCGTGGGGGTGGGAAAAAAGAGCCTGTTCCAGGGTCGGTTCCGGCGCCTGTGCGGGAGCGCCCCCTGCCGGCCGCGTCGGGAACCAGGCTGGGGACGGTGTGGGGGTCCGCCCGCATCCCACCCCGGGGACCCGTCTCCATCGCGACGCTCGGCGCCCCCGTAATCCCGGGAAACCGGACAGAGGCTCTTTAAAGGCTAGAAAACCCTAAGAGCGCCCCCGGGGGCAGGGGTGCATGGTGGGAGGGGCTCCGAGAGGGCTGGGGGCCTCTGGGCGCTTCCTGTTTAAAGCGCGAGCATCGGCGTTGGTGCCTGCGCTGCTCGATCCTGCCCTCGCTCTGAGCCGCTGGGAGGGGCGGCCGATCAGCACCTGCCCCGCCCCCATCCCCCCCACGGCACCTGTCACTCCTGCAGAGACCTGCACCCAGACCCCGTCTGTCCGTCCTCGCGGCACACCTGGGAGGCCGCTGGGCCCGGAGAGGGAAGGGCGGTCGGACCCCGGGAGGCAGGAGTGATTGCACGCTGCCACCTGCCGCCGCCGGCACCTCTGCCGCGCACGGCCGCCCTGCTCTGCTCTCGCCGCAGCCCCACACGGAGCACCTGGCAAACAGGCAGAGGAGGGCCCGCAGCCTGCTGCAACCCCACGACCCAAAGGAAGGCATCCAGGAAGCAGGGGGATCCGCTGGAGGGCCCCACACGCTCACACTGCCACGCTGGCTCAGCTGCTCCCCGCCCCCGCAGGTAGAACCCTCTATTCTGTCCCCAGTGCTGGCCTGACCCTCAGTGAACCATAAGCGTGCCGGAAACCCAGAGGAATAGACAGAGAGGGAAGGGAAGCGTCTCCCAAAGAAGAGCGAGGGACTGCGGCGTCAGGCGGGGGTGGGGGAGCTGAGCCAGCATCACCCGCGCAGCTCACCTCACCTCATGGCCTGGGGCACCAGCCCAGCCACCCACCGCGGGGCGGTCAGTGCAGGGGCTGTCGGGGCGGGGCTGGGCCAGCTGGGCTGTCGGGGCGGAGCTGGGCCAGCTGGTCAGTGCAGGGGCTGTCGGGGCAGAGCTGGGCCAGCTGGTCAGTGCAGGGGCTGTTGGGGCGGGGCTGGGCCAGCTGACTTGGAAGGTGCATGGCATGCACTTCGTGGTCCTGACAGCTGCAGCGAGTCTCAAGTCCCATCCCTGTTTACTTCCAGAAAACAGCAAACTGAACACAGATACTTGTGTGTGTGTGTGTGTGTGTGTGTGTGTGTGAACTTGGCAAAGGCATGGCTTGCCCCCAAGTCCCCAGAAGGAGAGCAGCTTGTCCCCAGGCTCATCAGCAGTCTTACCTCTTGG